AGAGGGAGAGATGAGAGAGAATCATTGATCGGCTGCCTCCTGTGCACCCCCTACTGGGGATGAGCCCATAACCCAGGCATGTGTCCTTGACCAGAATTGAACTCAGAACCCTTCAATATGCAGGCCAATGCTCTATCCACTGAGCCAAACCAACTAGGGCAGAAGTTAGATATTTTACTTCATCTACTTAGTTTCTGCGAAAACCCATATATTTGTCTTTGTTCTACACACATACAAAATTTTAGAAATTCAGTTAAAAAAATAGGACCTTTAAGCCTTCTAGTTTATGAGTATAAAGTAATGAATTCAGTAATGTATATACTCACTTTGGCATGAATAGGCAGGTACTCAACAGATATTTAGTGGATTTGTCATCTATCTTCTATCTGTATATATTAAAAGCCAGTGACTGGAACAACCAGAACGACCGGTCGCTATGATGCCTACTGCGGCCAGCAAACTGGTCAATGGCGGGGGGGGGGGGGGGGGGGGGGTCCAATTGGCCAGCCTCCCGTGGCCCCTCCCCCCGGCCGGCCCCACCCCTGATCGGCCTCATCCACCCTGATCGAGAGCTGGTAGCTGGCCAACACCCCCATGGCCCTTCCCCCCGGCTGGCCCTGCCCCTGATCACCTTCCCACCCCAATAGTGGGCGGGGTTGGCCAGCCAACCTCCTGCAGCCCCTCCCCCTGGCCAACCCCACCCCAGATAGGCCCCCACCATGCCAATCAGGGGCAGGGCTGGCAGCCAACCACCTGCGGCCCCTCCCCCTGGTCGGCCCCACCCCCGATGGGCCCCTACTACCCTGATCAGCCCGTGGCCCCTCCCCCCAGCTAGCTCCATCCCTGACTGGCTCCCCCACTTGGATCAGCAGCAGGGCTGGCTTGCCAACCACCCATAGCCCCTTCCCCAGGCCGCTGGCCCCTGGTTGGCCCCCTCACACCATTTTGGGGTGGGGCCTGCTGGCCAATTGCCCACAGCTCCTCCCCATGGCTGGCCCCGCCCCCAATCAGCCCCCCACCCCAATCGGGAGTGGGGCCCACCGGCCAATTGCCATGGCCCTCCCCACGACTGGCCCAGCCCTGATCAGGCCTGATTGGGGCGGGCTGGCCAGCCAACCTCCTGCTGTCTCCTCCTCCCGACAGGCCTAGCCCCAATCCGATCCATCCTGATTGGGGCCGGGCTTGCTGGACCCCACCCATGCACGAATTCGTGCACTGGGCCTCTAGTGTTAAAAAGCTTTGAAAGTATTTTGATGATAGAACATATAAAAATTTCACTGATATAAAATGTGCTGATTTTAAAAGCTATTTCTCATGCTTTTAGGGTGAGAATCCTTTTAAAATTCAAGATCATTCTCAAGATCAGCAAATAGAAGGAGATGAAGAGGAAGAAGAAAAGATTGGTGAACATATTGAAGAGGAGGAAGAAGAGGAAGAAGAGGAGGAAGTGGGGGAAGTGGAGGGAGTAGGGGAAGTGGAGGGAGTAGGGGAAGTGGAGGGAGTAGGGGAAGTGGAGGGAGTAGGGGAAGTGGAGGGAGTAGAGGAAGTAGAGGGTGTAGAGGAAGCAGAGCGTGTAGGGGAAGCAGAGGAAGTGGTGGGGGTAGAGGAAGCAGGAGAAGGTGAAGGAATAGAGGGAGTGGGGGACATAGAAGGAACGGGGGAAGGAACGGGAGTGGGGGAAGGAGAGGAAGAAGCAGCAAAGGAAGAGCATGTAAGCCTTCCTGCTGACCAACCAGAAGAAAATTAAATATAAGGTATTAGATATAAAAGAAGCTTTAAATTTCTGTCCTAATGTGGAAAAGGGTAAGAATTTTAATAGTTTAAAATAAGAGAGTTAACACCCATGTTGCATGCATTCCACACATTAAATTTTTATTTTATATAATTTTTAAATGTTTGGCATTTGTTTAAATAAAATGAAGGTATTAGTTTAGTTTTTATAGTTACCCAACTTAGATTCAATAAATGGTTTGTATAATTTGTAAGCTTAATTTTTATTACTTTATTGGTGTTAGGATAACAGATATGTATTGTTGGTATATCTATTCTAATCATTTGAACTTAAATGCTGCTCTTGGGAGTATATATTCAAGTGTGCATTAATGTTTTGAATACTTACCCTGGAAGAGATTAATTGGGCAAGTATTTTGTGCTCTGTGTATTTTTTTACTGCATTGAACATTGAATAGTAATTTGCGTTAAGATACGCTTCAAGGCTTTTTGTGACCATGTTTCCCTTTGTAGTAATAAAATGTTTTTTACAAAAACTCTACCTGGATTAGCAATTTTACATGAAACAGTTCAGCAATTAGATGAGTATTTAAAATCAGGATTTGCCTAATGCATGAGTTCATCTCACAGGTATTTTAAGATGATTGAGAAGACTTGAATTACAGAAAAAATTTACCTCAATCATATTTTAAAATGTATTACTAAATATTTTTTAATATTTCAAGTAGAGGTCAGTCTATAACAGCCGTGGGCAAACTACGGTCTGCGGGCCAGATCCGGCCCGTTTGAAATGAATAAAACTAAAAAAAAAAAAAAAAAAAAAAAGACCGTACCCTTTTATGTAATGATGTTTACTTTGAATTTATATTAGTTCACACAAACACTCCATCCATGCTTTTGTTCCGGCCCTCCGGTCCAGTTTAAGAACCCATTGTGGCCCTTGAGTCAAAAAGTTTGTCCACCCCTGGTCTATAAATTACCTATTTATACTTGCTTTAATTAATTTCATTTCTTGGTGCCTGTGTCAAATCTTGAAATCTTTTTGAAAATACATTTGCATACAAGTAATACAAGTGTTAGTTATTTTGTAATGTCAGTATTTGGTTGAAGAACCAAGAAGCAAACTATCACTTTTTAAAGAAAAGAATTATTTCTTTTGAATATTTCTCTCCTCTTTTTACTTTTTGTAAGCCATATGCTTATATACTCTAATAATAAAAGGTTAATATGCTAATTAGACCGGACAGCCGAATGACATTCCGGACGACTTCTGGACGAAGCTAGGGCTGTGAGGGCCGAGCCCCTTGCACGAATTTCATGCATTGGGCTTCTAGTATACTCTAAAAGAGAATATGAGATTGATAGGTGATCTGTTTTCAAGTGACCATTTATGTCACTGAAAAACAGTGCTCTCTCTTTGGATCTTTGGCATCTTTTGAGAGGGGCTCTCTTTCAAGGAAATTAGCTTCTCAAAATTTGAGGTACCGAATGGATCAAGACATGGGTGTATTAACTAATTTCAAGGCATTAAATGGATATAATTGGGCATTTGTAGAATTTCACAGATAATTTCTCTCTTTGCATACAGTTAAAGCTTTTAAATAGATTTAAAAAGTTTTTTATAAGTTTTTATTGATTTGAGAAAGGGAGATACAGAATCATTAATGTGAAGCATCGATTGGCTGCCTCATGCATGCCCCCTGTTGGGGATGGAGCCCGCAACCAGGGCATGTGCCTTCAGTGGAAATTTAACCAGTGACCTCTTGGTGCATGGATCGACACTCAAACCACTGAGCCACATCAGCTGGGCTAAAGAGATTTTTTAAAATTAAGGCCAGTATGAATTTGTTCTTGTGGACTAGATTCGCTTATCTTTCAGCTGGGAAAATTCAATGGGCATTTATATTCACCTACAGGGATTTGGAGCTAAGAAAGGTTAGTGAAGATGGGAGAAATTTGGAGCCTACCTAGGATCTGTATGTCCTTTAGTGGCTTCAGAAAGAAAGTCTTTTGCTAAGAAGTTTATATTTTAAGGATACTAGGATTTGATTAATCCTTTCGTTTCTCCTTTTTTAAAAAATATTTGTGGAAAGGCTAAGTTAAAAGGAGAATAGATCTCTCAGAGTTAGTACGTTCTTTTGTTTCTAAGTAGGATTTTGTTTTTTTAAAGAAACTTTTGGGAAGAATCCTGTATAACAACTTCTAAGTAAAGATTTTAGAATGAGAGATAGGCAAGTACATCTAAGTAGTAATTTTTGTGGGAAACGTGTAAAATTCTTTATTCAACTAGCTTATTTACATAGTATTAATAAATTGTACTTTGTTATTGTGCTTAATTCAGAAATTAACAATTTGATAATTATTAAAAGGCAGTTTAATTTGCAGGCAGATTAATTTTTGTGATCCTTTAATGTTTATATTTTCACTACTTTTGTGATAAAGGTTTATATAATATCTTTAATAATTTAACTTCTGTTATCTAAATACAGCATGTCACAAAGAAACTATACACACTTCAAATAATTATAAGGGCAGTGCTTATTGAAATACATTTCATTTGCCCTAACCGGTTTGACTCAGTGGATAGAGCGTCGGCCTGTGGACTGAAAGGTCCCAGGTTCGATTCCGGTCAAGGGCATGTACCTTGATTGCGGTCACATCCCCAGTTGGGGGTGTGCAGGAGGCAGCTGATCGATGTTTCTCTCTCATCGATGTTTCTAACTCTCTATCCCTTTCCCTTCCTCTCTGTAAAAAATCAATAAAATATATTAAAAAAATACATTTCATTTAAACAATGTAATAGAATCAGTTGTTAAAGTGTGTATACATTTTTTTGGGACACCCTGTATTTGTTTTCTTTATTAAAAAACTAAACATTAGTTCTAATAACCAAAGAAATTTATTTATAACTTACACAGTTGCTTAAGCCAGATGTCTACAGACTGTCCTATATGCTTCCCTTTTTAGCCCTTCCTACCTCCAGTCTATCAGAAAGTCTATGTTTTCTGCTTCCAAAATTTATCTGCTCACTCTTCCATCTCTTCTGCTACCAACCCAGTTCCAGTCACCATCATCTCTTTCTTGGACTATTGAAATAGCTTATTAACTAATCTCGCTTCTACCTTGACACTGTTAGACTCATTTTTAAAAATAGATAGATAGATAGATAGATAGATAGATAGATAGATAGATAGATAGATAGATTTCGGAGACAAAGAGAAAGGGAGAGAGAGATAGAAACATCAATAATGAGAGAAAATCCTCGATTGGCTGCCTCCTGCACACCCCTACTGGGGATCAAATCTGCAACCTGGGCTTGACCAGAATTGACCCTGGGACCTCTCAGTCTGCAGGCCGATGCTCTATCCACTCAGCCAAACCGGCTAGGGCTGGACTCAGTTTTGCACACAGAAGTATAATCATTTTAAAATGTAATTCAGATTATGCTGACCATCTGCTTCTTTTTGTACCTGTACAATCCAAACTCCTTATCATGGCAGTCAGGCCTGGCCTAGCTTTCCAGCTTTTATCATACTGTTCCTTTCACCAGCCATAATGGCTTTCAGTTATTTTTTTAATGAAGTTTTCCCTATCTCCAGATCATTGTAACCTATACTTGTCAGCTCTCCTTGGTGGACTCTTCATCCTTCAGGTCACCTTCAATATTGGAAAAGGCTTTCCTGAGGAATTATAAGGGAATGGTTAAGCTTTGTTTTGTTTTTTTAAGTGAGGATTTGGAGTTATCTACATATTTGATTTACTAGATCATATTCTTTGGAAGCGATGCATTTTTAAGAAGTTTCCCAGGTGTTTTTGATGGTAGTGATCATAAGGCTCTTAAACAAATTTCTAGTGCCTACAACTCTTCCATATCAAAGCCAGAACTTCTGCCTGTTAGTGATCAGGCATAGGAGGAGTCTTCGGAATATTTTTTTACTAGAGCATTGGAGCATTGAAATGACCTGTGGGAATCAGAAAACTGGGCCTTGTTTTTAATTTTGTTCTGTTTGGAATTAGATTATTTAATTCTCACAACCATGTTGTGAAGTCATAATAATAGGATTAGTACTTTAATCATATAACAAGCTCTCTGGCTTGTGTCATTCCCCTACTTGAAATACTTTATGGTGTGTCATCCCTGGCTCTCTGTGTTTGTTCCTGGCCTGCTTCTCCTGCCTTACATCTCAGTCTTATTTCTATTAACTGCCTGTCCCCTTAAACATATGAATTCACATCTTGCTTCAGGAGACAGTGGTTTCTAGTTTCCAAGGTTTGACTATAACATGACTATATATATATATAATCACATTATTATAAAATATACTTATTTATATTTTATATCTACTGTGATTTATAATAGTATAATATAATAACTTAAAAACCTCTAATCCTTTTTAATAATGAGGTGGAATAACTGAAAATATATACAGAAATTTGTATACCAAAGCCATGGACATACAGAAAAAACTACAAAGGCACATGATGGTAGTGCATGTTCAAATGTATTTGAGAATTCTGTTTTTATTGACAAGATTATTGTCATTGAACAGGTTATCTCGTTATTATCAGACTTCACATTATTTAACATTTGCTTTGCCTACCAGACTTTTATTTTGAATACTGACTTTTTATGGATATGTGAAATTTACCTTTAACCATTTTTTGAGTGCACATTCAGAGGCCTTAATGACAAAGCTTTTGATTACAGTTTGATATCCATCGTAGTTCTGCTGATGGACATAAGATGGCATGTAGTCATGCTGGCAGTGCTTTAGTCCATGTGGCAGTTACAGTTCATGTCATAAATCTGCAGTTTGTCTTTGAGAGTTACAGCCCTATAGCTGGGTCTGTTAGCTGGGTCTTTGTTTGGTGTGCAGTCAGGGAGCCTGCACAGCTGGAGGGCAGTTTGGCAGTGGTGGATTCAGTCTGCGCTGCACTCTTTAAGGCCTTTCTGGAAAGTGTCATACTAGTCTCTCCAATTTCATTTCCCTTTCTTCTGATTTTTCTGGTTTTTGTTTAAATTTTTTTCTAAAAAGGTTGTATATTAGTGGTTGGGTGAGGTAGTGTTGATGGTGACAGGAGATGGCCTCCTGATGACTGGGAGTGTGGAAGGGAACTACAGGAGCTTAGTGAGGATTGTGGCGAGTTCTAGATCAGAAGGGCATACTGGGTTCAAGCCATGAATCTAAAGTTCTGTTAAAATCACAGAAGACATACAATGAGAAAATTATAGCAATGAAGGCAAATTCTTAACTACAGTAGAAAGACAACAAGGGTGCTGTGAGGCATTTCTAGAAGATATAAACCAAGGAACCGGATCTTAGTCAAACAGAGAGGACCACAGGCGCAAGGAGCTGAAATTAAGGAATTTTTTCCATTTTAGAGGAGCTATGAGAGTGGTGGCTGCAGTTTGATAAGCCACATTTTAAGGACTGAATAGTTATGTCAGTCCCTGGCTCGGAGTTGTTGGTCCATAGTATTCCTCTAAGCTAAAGCCATAACACAGCTTGTTGTTTGCCAAATAGAGTGAGATGCCTGATAATAGTAGTTTCCCAAAGCATGTATGGGGGCCATCGAAGTGTGGCAGTGCCGTAGGTGTCTTGTGGGTACTATACGGAGCTTCGATTCCTAATGCTTGGAAAGCAGGCAAAGAAAAACCTGGTGGCTGTCTAGTTCCCATTTTTCATACTGACAGCTCTTCCCTCCTTCCTCGTACACTTAAAATGATGGTCCTTGTGATCAAAATCTGCTAGGGAATTTCACTCAAGCTGAGAAAAACTTCAGGAAACAGTATTGAAAAATCTAGTAATTGGCTGACTACCATCTGCATACTTCCCACTGTCTATTGTACGGATTTTATATTTTTAAAGGGTTGTAAAAAACAAAGAATATGTGACAGATTCCTAATGTGCACGTCAAAGCCTAAGATACTAACTGGCCCTTTACAGAAAAAGTTTGCTGATCCCTAAGGTTCTCATTTACCAATAGAGACAAGCAACCCAGAAGCAACAAACATTAAGGAAAAGAGCCACATGAAAGATAGGCAGTGAACTTAAATAATTCCTGGGGAAACAAGGCAGGAAAAAAAGAGAACTTTTCGAGTAAGGATAATTAGTATTATATGTAATAATAATTAGTCATAATTACAATAATTAGTTTTACATGTTATCCTCATATAGTATAAATCATATCTTCAAAGAGATTTTAGAGGTTACTGTATTCATATCTTGGTAATAAAAAAAAATAGTTGATAAAATAAAAATACTTTAGGCCAATTGTTGAATAAAACATGTCCAAGAACAAAATTAACTGAGTTAGCATTTTGAGCTGAGGGATACTTTCAGAATCTTAAAAGAATATAAGGCCAAACAGAAAGTATGAGAAAATTTAAAAGACATAGAAGATCCAGGTAAATGCCATCCATTTAAAATGAAACTTCAGGTTAGGAACCACATGTATAGCGAATTCACCATTGAAGACCTACATATGTCAGGTGCATGGTGCTCAATAAATATTTTTGAGGAATGAATGAATGTATTGTCTGTGTATATATGAGTTCCAGAAGATGAGAACACACAAAAAAATGAAGAAAATAAATAATAGGGACAAAATTATTCTGATGAAAGACTGACATCATATTAAAAGGCTTGAGTACTGAGGAAAAATAAAAAAGGAGACATACACTTAAGATAAATTCTGACGAAGTTTCTGTAAACCCAGGATAAAGAGAAAAACCTTAAAATGTCTAAAAAAGCAATTTGCTTATAAGGGGAAGAGTGACAATGATCTTAGACTTGTCATCAGTATATTGGGATGCTAGAAGATACTATTTTTAAAGTTATGAGCGAAAATTGTTTTGAATTTGGAATTATGTTGAGTCAAACTATAATTTTAAGAGTGAGGGCACAAAATAAAGGCATTTTAGCAATTTGTACACATGGAGGACTCAGAAATTAACTCAAAACTACATAATATGACACCAAACTATGTAATGAAAATGTGAACAAGAAGAAAGGCACACATTTGCAATCAGAGCTCAGTATTTGAACATACCTCTTTCAGAAATTATCAGATGAAGAGTTCAAAATTGAGGACACTGGTTTTGAATCATACAATTAACAAACTTTAATAGAGTATTTCTTTTCAAATATGAAAATGACCATGATGTAAACCACAAAGAAATCATATAGGCTGCATCCTGTTACCAATAAGCTAGAAATTAACAAGTGGATAGCAATACACCAATACAACTCTAATCAGTATATAAAAGAAAACATGTTCTTAGAATGCTTGTGTTTAAACAAAATAAAAATTTATGAAATTTTGAGTGAACTCTTAAGTTGTTCCAGGTTATAAAGAAACCTGAAATACCTCTCAATTTGGTCTCTGAGGATAGCATACCCCATATTTTAAAATATTGTCCATCAAAGATAACTATAGACATATCTCAGGAACAAATGTAAATCATTGGAAGAACATTAGCAAACTAAATCCAAAAGAATTGTCATGACAAAGTAGGGTTTGCTCAAAGAACACAATTAATGTAACTCAGTACACTTGGAAATCTATTACTATAACTTTTTACATTAGAAAAACACCATGTGATAATCTTGATAGATGCTGGAAAAACATTTTCTAAAATGTAACATTTCAGATTTCAATTTTGTCAGGCTAGGAATAGAAACTTGGCTAAGGATATCTACCAAAAATGTTCAGCAAATGTCCACATTCAAGTCAGAGCAAGCCTGTTGGCTATACAACAGTCACTTAACCCAAAGAAATAGAAATATTAGGGAGAGACAACACAGCCATTATTTTAGGCAGTATGATTGTGGAGGCAGTACATTCGAGAGAATCAATTGGAAAACTATTAGCTCTGATAAGAGGTATTTTTGTTTAAGAATTTAACATACAAATTTGCAGCTTTCTATAGACCGGTATCAGACAATTAGAAATGTGATTTAAAAATTCCCATTTGCAATAAAAATCTATATGCTCTCAGCAATTCTTAGACACTTCCCGCCTGCCCCCACATTTTACTAACTTTGGGTTGGAATGTATTTTACAATTGATGGCACTTTACCATTGCTGTTGGCCACGGGTAAAGAACTATAAGCTTTCTAAGAGTGAGTGAGGAAAGCACAAATACCTATGGGAAAAAAAACCCTCTACATTTTAATGAAGGGTATAAAACGCCTGAATAAATAGCTAAAATATCCTGTGTTCCTGTTTATAAAAACTGTTTTGTCCAGACATCAATTACCTTAAAATGAATTTATAAATTCCAATTCCAATGGGATTTTGTTACTTAGAATTAATGTTGGCTGTGAGAGCAAGTTAAAACTAACAGTAGCTTACATAAGATTGAAGTGTCTCATAAAAATTCAGGAGGGCAATCTAGGGCTGGTGCCCTTCCAGGTATCAGAAACGGATGCTCCTGGCTTCCAAACCTCTGATCTCCAGTGAGCCTGTCTCTTCTGGTCAATGGACAGGAAGTGAATAACGGTCACACACCTTAACTTTGAGAACAGTTGCCCGAAATTGTACCTACGTATCTATGTTAATCCCATTGCTTAAAACACGAACACTCCTGCCAAGAAGGCTGGGATTTGTATTTATTCTATATATGTCCGTGTTTCCAGCTAAAAAGTAGGGGTCCTATGCAGTGGTTCTCAACCTGTGGGTCGCGACCCCTTTGGCGGTTGAACGACTCTTTCACAGGGGTCGCCTAAGACCATCCTGTATATCATATATTTACATTACGATTCATAACAGTAGCAAAATTACAGTTATGAAGTAGCAACGAAAATAATTTTATGGTTGGGGGTCACAACATGAGGAACTGTTTTAAAGGGCCAGAAGGTTGAGAACCACTGGATTAAAGGAAAGGGGGAAATGGATATGAGGCTACAATTAGCCACATACGCCATTCAAGTGACTCAGAAATTCATATGCAAAGTAACCAAGAAAAACTAAAAAGAACAATGAGGAAAATTTGACTATGTTTCTTACTAGAAACAAAACTATAATGTATCAAAAAATCAATGAAACAAAGGAAAATAATAATATGTAGATATATGGTATATTGATAAAGATACAGTTTTAAAGAAGGTAAAGAAGTAGCCTGTGAATGAATTGGAGACAGAATAGCCACACTGGGAGTACCTGCCCATGTCACACTGTGCACAAAGACACATTTCAAGTGGATTAAAGAGAACGGTTAAGAAAACCAAAGTACATAAGTGCTAAAATGTAGGAAAATCATAATTTTGGGGTGCAGGTTTTCCTAAGCAAGATATAAACCCAAGGGGTGGCTCAGTGGTTGAACATCAACCTATGAACCAGGAGGTCACGGTTTGATTCCCGGTCAGGGCACATGCCCGGGTTATGGGCTCGGTTCCTGGTAGGGGGCGCACAGGAGGCAGCGGATCAATGATTCTCTCTCATCATTGCTGTTTATATCTCCCTCTTCCTCTCTGAAATCAATAAAAATATATTTTAAAAAAGATATAATCCCCAAAAATGAGACCTAAGGAAAAATAGCGACACATTTGGAACATGAAACGACTGCAGGGTGAAAGACCCTGAGCAAAGTTGAGAGGGGCGGAGACATTTGCAATACGTATATATGACACAAAAGATTAAATTAATAAAGAACTTCAGCGTATCAATTTTACATTGATAAATATTCAGAGATTTATAATAGCCACTTTTGGTGAGGAAAATAGGCCCTCTACCAGATGGTGAATGGCTGAACAAATTGTTTCATCTTATTTGAAGGGCAATTTGGAAGTAGCAAAATTTAAAATGCACATACTATCTGATCTCTCCTATAAACAACTATTCATTTGCCTGAAATCACAAATACCTGAAATACACATGAATGCAAAGATACTTTATTTCATCTAATCTGAAATGTATTGAGGCTAATGCTTTTTGACTATTACCAGAAGTTGTCAAAAAAAGATTTTTAAGCAACAAATACCCCGTGGCCAACAGCAATGGTAAGGTACCATCAATTGTAAGATGCATTCCAACCCAAAGATAGTAAAATGTGGGGCAGGCGGGAAGTGTCGTAAGAATTGCTGAGACAGGGTGCATCTATAAGAATGGTCTTCCCAGCATTATCTGAAATAATGAGAAATTAGAAACAGCCTAAATATTCAGCCATAAGGGGAATAAATTATGTATAGTCATAACAATTGAATACTCTAGCCATTAGGGAGAATGAGAGAGATCTTTATGCTTTGACATGAAAATATCCCAAGATATATTGTGAAGAGGAAAAAGGCTACTTACAGTAGAATGTACGTTTTAAAGTTTTACTTAGGAAAATTATGTATGTATATGTAACTATATAAATTCCAAACTATTTGTATAGAAATGCATAAAGTAAATGCAGAGTAGCCTTATAGTTATGAGTATGCAAAACACTTCATTCTTGTATTATTAATTATTGTATTATTTGTTTGTATTACAATTGTAAACCTACTTTGCCCACCCCATATACTTATGTATACTAGTATATATAAAAAGCTAAGTGGCCGGTAGGTATGATGTGCACTGACCACCAGGGGGCAGATGCTCAATGCAGGAGCTGCGGAGTGACAGCAACTTTGCAGAGTGCCCTCTTGCACTCCGGGAACCCTTGAGGGATGTCGGACTGCCAGTTTCGGCCCTATCCCCGCAGGCCAGGCTGAGGGACCCCACCTGCTGGAGGGACCCTGCTCACTCTGCAGATTCCCTTTGAGCCCTGGTGCCGTCCAGGTGTGGCCGGTCAGGGAGGGACTGCGGGAGGTTGACTCCAGGGTGTGTCCAGCCCGTCTTGCCCAGTCCCGCCCTGCCAGCCACCTCCTAATTAACTTCCTTTCAATGTGTACAAATCCATGCACTGGGCCACTAGTACAAAATAAAAAGTCTGAAAGACATAGTGTTTACAAGTGAGGAGGGAAATAGCCTTGGGAAAATGGTGACTTTTTAATCTTTCTGATTTTTGTCTTTAAACAATAAGGATATAATCATACATCATGTTTATAAATAATTTAAAAGGATCTGGAAAATATAGGATAAGGAATGAAATAAAAAACACCTAGAATCCCACCACCAGATACTAGCACTGCTAACAGTTCCTGTGGGTTTCTTCCCAGACCACATTTCTTTGCAGCCAGGTGGGTGATGACACTGATCCTTGAGTAGGAGAAACAGCAGAGGAGCCAGTTTGGGTGAAGGTGGTGCATCTCTCTGGGGGCATGTGGAAATGGTATTGCCTGTGGGACAGTGAGATGGTGATAGCCAGTCAGGAAAGGGACACGTGGGCATGGAGCTCAGGGGAGCTGATGATCAACTCACAGTATTAATGCTTTCTCTTTCAAGTGATGAATTTGAATATTCGTGTGTCTGACACAAATAAAAATGTAATTCCTTGTGGCAGCAGATCTTGCTGCCCTGCTGTTCCCTATCCCTATCCCAGATGTAGCATTTTCTAGTTTTGTCCCTCTTGGGAAAAACGTTTAAATGAAGAAAAGCCTGTTTTTTCATCTATAAAATAAAGATCATCTTACTGTCCTTGCACACTGCTACAAAAATTAAGTGAGTCTGAGTAAACCCCTAGCACTGTCCGGAATGCTTACTTGGCTCTCAGAATTTGTTTTAGTTTTCTCACTGTTACCTGAATATCACAGCTAATTTATTTATTTTTGATTAGCAATAGAGAAAGGATGTATTGGCTTGGGAAATCCTTATGTGAAATTAACACAGAAATTTATTTTTTTTTCAAATTCATTTTAACCTATTTTTGATCTGTCATAACTTGTTTTGTAGATTATCTTACAGCTACTCATTACTCTATAAAGCTTCCACAGGACTTTGGTCAAAATGAACAAAATCACGACTTGATAATCAAAAGGAAATAAATCACAAATGTCTCACCTCACAGAACCAATTATAGTTATTCCCAATAACTTTTTCCTTTGGCGTTGGAGATCTTCAACTGACGAGGATATTAATAACCTGCTCATGTTGGAGCTCCAAGCTCAGCCCCGACAAAGAGTTACAGAACTCACAGAACTCCCCTCAACTGGGATTTGAATTGCTCGTCAGCACTGAGGTCACTGTCACTGTTAAATGACAGATGTTTTCCTGAAAATCCCCTGCATCTCTTCCTGTGATAGAAAGTTCAGCGCTGGCAACAGCAGGGTGGTGTTCCTTAATAACTGTTAACTTTATTCTTTAGAGAGTTTGTAAAGATGTCCTATTGCTCCAAGAGGACTCCCTCGACACCCACACCTGCATTATCCTTTTGCATAATGCCTACAATTTAGAGCCACCAGGCTCCCTGTTGCATAGCTCCTGTATGCTTGGTTCAGTATAACCAAAACACTCATAAATCTCCCTTTCTTCCAGTAGCTTTCTGTAGCAGCTGGGGTATGACAGCCTTGTCCCTGATCTGTAATTCCAGACAACTCCAGGGTGAACTGGAAGACCAATCCAAAGCTACTACGTCAGATAAAGTGATGCTGTTTGCACAACTCAGTGTCCTCAAGAGATATTTATGTAATACTCCCGATTTGTATTCTGCATGAAACTCCTTTTACAAGACATAAACTTCCCATAGGGAGCAAACGTAGCCAGCTAAAAGATGCTGAACATATGACTGTGTAATGTAATTTTAAACTCAGAAGGAATTGGCTAGGCCTTTTCCATCTTAGAAGCCGAAAGCTATAAAAGAACCCACGATTTCTTTTTTAAGTATAACATTCTTAATTTTGGGATTCTAATCAAGCCATGTTCTAACTCTAATCAAGCAATGCTTGTCATATGACGGATTAATATAAATATTTGAATTGTATATATCATGAGATTTAAGTACTCACATTTATCACAAAAAACTAATTGATTTATTATTTCTACCTAATTGACTTACATTTGAAGCAGCTAATTAAATGATTTCTGTTGTCACATTAATTGCATTAAAGAAACTGACTAAATGATGTATTTGTGGTTTATTTGCATGGTACTTGCTAATTCTCCTCTCGTTCTCAATCAGGGATTCTCCATCTTGGCCTGTTAATATTTGGGTTGGAGACTTGGTTGTGGGGGCCTCTCCTGTGCCTTAGAGGATGCTCGGCAACATCTGAGTTCTCTACGTAATAGATTCCAGTGGCACACGCCGTCATGAAGTCATTGACGAATGTCCCCTGGGAGGCAAAATTCTGCCCAACTGAGAATCATCAGTCTAGATAAAAGTAGTTGGGTGTGGGGTTTGAACTCTAAATGTTCCATTTGGAGATGTTGGGATTTTTTTTTTTTTTCAAAGCCACCTTAGATTCAGCAATTCTAGGAAGCATTCCTGGGTTTCCTTGACCCTCTCTTCCTCTACACACAGATAAGCCATGCTCTAGACCTTTCTCTCTTCACTCCGTGCTCTGGGCCTCGCTTTCCAGAAGGGATATTGTTTTCTTTGTTCCTGTCTCCAGCCAGCACAGTGCATAGCACAAGGAAGAGGCTCAAAAAAATGAGCTGGCTGGAAGAATGACTGTTACCCATTATTTTTCTCTGGGAAGTATATGTCTCTAAATACAGACCTTTGTTTAAAAATCAGATGTGTCCAGCTACTTTATTTTGCTTTGTGTCATCTGTTTAATTTTTATAAGCCTGTGAGACTTCATTTTCATGATGCATTATTTATCCACCTAATATATGCTGAGTGCTTACTGTGTGCCAGACACCCATGCTAGGAGGGGAAGATGCAGTTATGAACAAAAGGGGCACAATTCTTGTCCCTAGGAGTCTTATAGATTATTGAAAAGCAGTTACAATTTAGGAATGACCTACTTAGGTCTGTCAGACAACACTGGTTTCCAAACAAATAAAAAACACACAGAGGGCCAAGAAGCCAGATCTAGAGACACGGCACATAACAAACAAGTCGTACAGACCTCAGGGAGACCCTTCTGCTCCGGAGATCGTAAATGACCCCTAGCTCTTCCCACACCCCGGAACAGTAGAGGAGGAAGTGTGGTCAGAGGTGGTGGGATTATTGCTGGAAGTAACAGGAGGCAGTGCTCCACTCTTTAACCTGGTCTCTTCCCAACATGCGCCTGCCAGGAGCCTGGAGATGCAGCCTTCCAAGAAAGCACAGAATTTTGAGTAAGAAAAACAAAAGTGCTGAACAGCTTTCCTTCTCTTGTTACAAATGTTTCCCTACATTTCATTAGGATTAATCACTTGTTTGTGGATACTGACTACATATAGTAACAAATGTAATTCCAGTTGTGCTCTCACCTGTACCTACCTGCTCACTAAGTTACTCTCTGGGGTTATTTTTTTAAAATATGTTTTTATTGATTTCAGAGAGAGGAAGGGAGAAGGAGAGAGAGAAACATTAATGATGAGAAAAAAATCACTGATTGGCTGCTTCCTGCACGTTTCCTACTGGGGATTGAGCCTGCAACCTGGGCATGTGCCCTGACCAGGAATGGAACTGTGACCTCCTAGTTCATAGGTTGATAACCATTGGGAACACTAGCCAGGTGGGAAATTTTTCTTTTAATTCAGAACTGGGTCCTTGGCACTTAGAATGGTGGCAGCACTCAATAAATATGTATTGAGATAACTAATCAGCCAATCCATGTTGCCACAAATGCACAAGTATCTTCATGGGTGAGCAGAGATATGCAGCAAAATGGGAAAGAATAGGTCTTCCTTCTTTGTATTGTATTATATTAGGACTAGTGCCCCATGCATGGATTCTTGCACATTGAACGGAAATTAATTAGAAGAAATATTTTAATATTGCTATTTGCCCTTTCTCTATAATAGAAGTATCAACCAAATCCATGATCGACATGACAGATGGAAACACATGCGTGTGATTGGCGCCAGTGAGAACTTTATATGTATCACACATGAGCAAGTCAACTTAGCCTTTTATATATATACTAGAGGCCCGGTGCACAAAAATTTGTGCACTCGGGGGGAAGGAGGGGTCCCTCAGCCCGGCCTGTGCCCTCTCGCAGTCTGGGACCCCTCGGGAGATAACAACCTGCTGGCTTAGGCTGGCTCCCAGGTGGCAGAGGGCAGGCCCAATCCCTAGGTGCAGCCCCTGGTCGGGCTCAGAGCAGGGCCGATTGGGGAGTTGGGGCACCGCCCCTGTCATGCACAGAGCAGGGCGGATCGGGAGGTTGCGGCGCCACCCCCTGTCACACACAGAGCAGGGCCAATCAGGGGGTTGGGGCGCTGCCCCCTGTCACTCACAGAGCAGAGCCCATCAGGGGGGTTGGGGCTCTGTACCCTGTCATGCCCAGAGCAGGGCCCATCAGGGGGTTGGGGGGCTCCCCGCTGTCACAGAGTAGGGCTGATAGGGGATTTGAGGCACCACCCCCTGTCACACACAGAGCAGGGCGGATCAGGGGGTTGGGGTGCCGCACCCTGTCACACTCGGGGCAGGGCCGATGGGGAGGTTATGGCTCTACCCCGTCACACACAGAACAGGGCCCGTGGGGGGCGGTTGGGGCGTTGCCCTCTATTACCCACAGAGCAGGGCTGATCAGGGGGTTGGGGTGCCACCACTGTCACACTCAGAGCAGGGCCGATGGGGAGGTTATGGCTCTACCCCGTCACACACAGAGTAGGGCCCGTGGGGGTGGGGGGGTTGGGGCGCTGCACCCTGTCACACACAGAGCAGAGCCGATCAGGGGGTTGTGGCACCGCAGCCTGTCACACACAGAGCCGCAGGGCGATCAGGGGGTTGGGGGGCCTTCCCCTGTCACCAACAGAGCAGGGCAGATAGGGAGGTTGTGGCCCCGCCCCCTGTCACACACACAGCTGCAGGGCGATCAGGGGGTTTGGGCGCTGCCCCCTGTTACGCTGATCCCGGTGCCGGGAGGCCTCGTGGCTCTGCTGATCTTTGTGCCTGGAGGCATATTACCCTTTTATTATATAGGATAGAGGCCTGGTGCACGCTGGCTGGTTTGCCCTGAAGGGTGTCCTGGATCAGGGTGGGGGTCCCCACTGGGGTGCCTGGCCAGCCTGGGTGAGGGGATGATGGCTGTTTGCAGCTGGTCACACACCCTTCAGGGTGGGGGTCCCCACTGGGGTGCCTGGCCAGTCTGGGTGAGGGGCTGAGGGCTGTTTTCAGGCTGGCAGGTGACTGAAACTCCCAACTGCTCCTTTTTTTCTTTTTTTTTTTTCCATTCTGGGCCAGCTTTAGCTCTGAGGCTCCAGCTCTTAGGCCTCCGCTGCTGAAAGCAGGTTTCTGGCCTTTGTTTACTTTCTGTATTTGAAACAATGTTGAGATCCTGCTGGCTGAAGCCCAGCTGACTAAAGCAGGTTTCTGGGGTTTTGTTTAGCTTCTATATTTGTTACACAGTTGCTTAGAGTTGCAGCTCAGAGGCCTGCAGTGGCAGGCGGGGAAGGTTGGAGTCCTCCGTCACTGAAGCAAGCAAGCCTCATGTTAGTTTCAAGCTGCCTGGCTGCCGGCCGCCATCTTGGCTGGCAGTTAATGTGCATATTGCCCTGATTAGCCAATGGGAAGGGTAGCGGTCGTATGCCAATTACCATGTTTCTCTTTTATTAGATAGGACTAGAGGCCTGATGCACGAAATTCATGCAAGAGTAGGCCTTCCTTCCCCCGGCTGCCAGCACCGGCTTCCCTCTGGCACCCAGGACCTGGGCTTCCCTCACAGCCCTGGCTTCCTGGTTGTCCGGAAGGCTGTCTGGTCTAATTAGCATATTATGCTTTTATTATTATAGATTATTATAGATTGATAAACTTGCTTTCTGGTTTAGCTAAACTTTTTCCAGCCCAGTGAAGCACCCCAACTTCTCTTTCAGGTAATTGTCAGCAACACAGCAGTAAATATCAACACAAAGCAGATTATTACTGTAGATCATGCAGGGAGAACAAAGGGTAAAATATTTAACTGCAGCAGTGTCTGACTCTATTCTGCATAGTGAGAAAACCTGAAGTCATTTTCAAGTTCCACCATTTCTTACTTCTTTTCAGTCAGGTCAAATTTTCAAGCTTTCTAAATATCCATTTTCCAGCTAATGGAAAGAAAATAGTATTCTACCAAGTCTTCTATCTACCTACTCCAGGACTTCTGTGAGGATCAAATGAGATGAGGCATGGGGAAATGCTTCACAAACATTTGGTTAAACTGTAAAATGTTTGTACCTGGCTATAAAGCAAGTCGGGTTCCTGGGCTGAAGAAACACCAAGGAAGCTAGTCACTAGGGAGAGGAAGCCGGGTGTTCCTATATGATGTCATTACCTGGCACCCACAGCAACCATTTCTGGGCTGGGCTGGGCTGTGGGCTGCATTTTGTGCCATGAGCTCTTGGCAGCATTGGCTGTGATTTGGTGGAATGTCGTTTTTGGGGTGGTGGCGGGGCCTGTGTTCCACTTGGGGGGAAGCTGAGTGTCAGTTTGTGGGCGCCAGGTCCTCAGTGCTGTTTATTTTTAAATGGCCAGTGCTCATCATGGCACCTCCTACATTGAGCGTCTGGCCCCTGGTGGTCAGTGTGCATCATAGCGATCTATCATTCTCAGTCATTCCACTGTTAGGGTCAATTTGCATATTACCCTTTTATTATATAGGATAAGGTTTCTCAACTTCAGCAACACTGACATTTTGACCAGATAAATACTTTGTTGTGGGGGCATCCTGTGCATTGGAGTATGTTTAGCAGCATCCCTGGCCTCTGCCTACCAGATGTCAGTAACACACCTCCCCAAAGTAAGACAACCAAAATGTGTCTAGACATTGCCAAATGTTCGCCTGGGAGCAACATCTCCCCTGGTTGATAACCACTTTGTTAGGAAGATCCAAACGCAGGGAAGCTATGTCTTACAGAGTTTTTGGAGATATAGTTTGTTTTATTGTTTTTATAATAATGCTGCACAATCTACCCCAAACTCAGTTGCACACAGATATATACATATACTTTTCTGTTTGTTTTTCCTCACTCATGTGCCTGCAGTCTGGCTGGACTTGTGTTGATCTTGGTAGGATCAGCTAGATTTGACTTCAAGCTGCAGATCTGATCCAGGTCTGTTCCAAGTATCTCACATTCTCCTTGGATCAGTGGCTACCTGAGTCATGTTCCTGGTGAAAAAAGACATGCAACAAGGCAAGCACAAACATGCTGGCATATTTCAAGCTGCTGCTTTTGTTGTATTCTCAGATGTGTCATTGACTAAAGTAAGACATGGCCAAGATGAAAGCCAAAGGGCAGGGAGATACACCACCTACAGGGGGAGCTGGAGGGGATTGCATATTTATTTGCTGAATGGTAATCCAGATGATTACACAGATCTTTCAGTTTAAAAATATTGTTATTGATTTAAGAGAGGAAGAGATAGAAATATCAATGATGTGAAAGAATCAGTGATCGGCTGTCTCCTGCATGTACCCTCCTGAGGATCGAGCCCGCAACCCGGGCATGTGCCCTGACCAGGAATGGAACCATGACCTCCTGGTTCATGGGTCCATGCTCAACCCCCATAGCCATACTTGGCAGGTATAGGTCTTTCAGTTTTAATGCACAGTTTTCTATTTAGGCATAAAACCAATAGAGAACAGAGCAGAATGATAACC